CTCCTCCCGCCCCGTGCGTCCCGGGGAGCGGCCGATTCCCATTCCCGCTGCTCCTCCCGCCCCGTGCGTCCCGGGGAGCGGCCGATTCCCATTCCCGCTGCTCCTCCCGCCCCGTGTGTCCCGGGGAGCGGCCGAGCCCCCGCCCCGGGAGCGCTGTCACTGCCACTGCCGGGGCGCGCACTCCCCGATTTATCCCGCTAACCCACAATTTTACCTTATCACCCCATAATTTACCCGTCCCCTCCCAACTTACCTTGTTGTCCTCGCTCCTCTTCAGCCCCCTCCGGGGCTTGTACACCTGGTACATGTGCGCGAAGTCCAGCCTGCACGGGCGAAAGCAGAGCAGCGCGTTACCCCCTGCCCGGAGCCGCTCCCCCCGCCCGGCCGGACCCCCCGGACCCCCCGCTTACCCCGGCAGGTCCGCGCCGTCCAGGGCGGGCAGTTTGCCCAGGCAGGCGGGCGGGGGCTGCGCGCTGGGGATGCGCTCCATGGCGGGGCGCGGGCGGTGCGGGGCGCGCTCAGGGGCTGCGGGCGATGCCGGCGCCGCTGCTCCTGCTCCTGCTCCTGCTCCTGCTCCTGCTCCTGCTCCTGCTCCTGCTCATGCCGCGCCCGCGCCGCGCGGGCTGAGGAGCGGCGGGGCGGCCGCGGGCCGGGTTAAATGCGGGCGAGTGGGTGGACGGGAGCGACGTGCGGAGCCCTGTGACCGCCGGCACGTCTGGCGGCCCCGGCGCCCCCGCCCCGCCGTCACATGAGCCTCACGTGGCGGCGGCGCGGGGGGAGGCGGGGCCGCCCGGACCGGCCCCCCCGCCCGCACGTGTGTCCCGGCGCGGCGGCACCGCCGCTCCGTGTCCCGGTGTCCCCGCCGCTCCGTGTCCCGGTGTCCCCGCCGCTCCCGCCATCCCGGCGGCACCGCCGCTCCGTGTCCCGGTGTCCCCGCCGCTCCCGCCGTCCCGGCGGCACCGCTGTTCTGCTGTTCCCGCCGTTCCCGCTGTCCCGGCGTCCCCGCTCCCCGCAGGCGGCAGCCGCGGTGCCGGTGCTCCCACCGTGTGCGCTGAGACCGGGATAAAATAAATCACCCCCCAAAGCGACAGAGGCGCAAACACGGACCCGGGGAAACCGGCGGCTGCGGAAGTTTGGAAGTGTGGGAAAAAAAATAATTGAGAGTCACTAAAATGTGGCTCTGGGGAAATGTCGGTGCTGCGGGGAAGTTTAGGGCTGGTGGGATCCCATCACTGGAAGTGTTCAGGGCCAGGTTGGACAGAGCTTGGAGCAACTTGCTCTGGTGGAAGGTGTCCCTGCCCGTGGCACAGGGGTGGAATGAGATGTCCTTTCCAGCCCAAACCATTCCGTGATTCTATGAGGAATTTTCAGGAGGAAATCCTTCCCTGTGAGGCTGGGGAGGCCCTGGCACAGGTCGCCCAGAGAAGCTGTGGCTGCCCCTGGATCCCTGGAAGTGTCCAAGGCCAGGTTGGACAGGGCTTGGAGCAACCTGGGCTAGTGGAAGGTGTCCCTGCCCATGGCAGGGGGTGGCACTGGATGGGCTTTAAGGTTCCTTCCAACCTAACCCATTCCATGATTTCCCATGCTTGCACCAAGGATCTGCAGCCGGTGGACACTGTTGCAAAACCCTGAGTGATGATAATGGTGTGTGAGTACCTGCCAAGGCAAAGCTCTCCTGAAGGGCCGTGGTCACTTCCCTGCTGAATGCTGAGCAAGTAGAGGCAGGCTCATCTGATAAAGGGTGCACTTACCCAGATAAGGAAATAGCAGAACTCCAGCCCAGAGCCACTGCTATCGCCTGGAGAGTCCTGGCCTGCTCCACCTCGGGAGGAATCCGAGGGCAGCAGGTACCATGTGAGAGCACAAAGATTTTATGCAGGCATTAACAGCACAGCACTGTACCAGTGACACAGAGCTCCCTGAAAGCAGATGCTTGGGTTGTCCCACTCAGTGTGGTCTTCTCGGTGTTTGGCAGCTGAGCCTGCAAACCTGGTGATTATGGCCAGGATTATGGAATCACAGACTGTTTGTGTTGGAAGGGACCTCAAAGACCATCTAGTTCCAACCCCCTGCTATGGGCAGACCTGCTCACCG